AAAAGGTGATACAAAAGATACATTTCAGACATTGGGATAAAAACAGACCAAATTAGGTAATACATGTAATAGAGAACACAATACTACTCTGGCCAACAGCAGAAGAGAGGAAGGTGGCTCGAGAGTCCATCAGTTATGCATGTATGTATTTATTATCCTCCTTCCTTTCCCTTGCTGTTTTTATTCAAGGGCAGGACCACTTTGTGCCAGACTTGTAGACTTGTAGTAGGCTGCAGGTCTCAACATTTTCCAGACCTTGAAGCACCTCCAATTCAGGAGGAGGCCCATCCAGCATTCATTCAAGGCCTCTCCCACCATGCCCTTCATACAGCTCCAAAGTGCTGCTAGAGACTGGACAGGGGCTCACCAAACGTCTCCTTGGACAACCAGCAGCCAGTAAAAATGTATGATAGGAAAGAGAACATTAATGATCGGGATAACATTTGGGGTGCGGCAGGATGGGGCATTGAAGAGGATTGTCATTTGACGAGAAAGTGCAGTTCTCCATTCAGTTCATTTTCTGTTCCCTTCCCTGCCGCTCTATTGTCGTGTTCTCTTTTTCCCTTTGATTATCAGAATCAGAACCGTTTATTTGCCAGAGTATGTTGCACATACAAGGAATTTGACATGGTGGAGAGTGCATAACATTAAACAATCAACACAGTGCAATAAATTGTATGTATAGCTGCATGAAAAAAAGCAGTGTTCGCTCTCTCATTACGTTGAGCGTGAGGCCAGTGGTGAGGAAAGATGAGTCAGAACGGTGGATTCCTCGGCTGAGGAGCTTTCCTCATTTCTACATAGGTGGAGTTCCTGGCTTCTCTGTTGCTGCACTGGAACACAGAAATAGAAAAGTAACAGGTTGCTTAAGGTTTTCTTTTCTTAATCAGTAGCTCAATGAAAGCATCATACAGTGCTGGAGACTTGTAGTTGCAATAGAGTCAGCTACTCCATGTTTTGTGCTGCAGGAGACAGCACGGCCGTCCAACTTTCCCGACACATAGCCTTGACTTCATCAGGTGTTTTTTTATTAAGTGTTTTGTGGTTTCTTTTTATTTTCAGAGACAGAAAGACACACAGATGACCACACGTGTGGTGAGACTGTCTGGCAGACAGACACATACTCACCCTCAGTCTGATGAAGAAGGAGGTGATGACACAGCTGTACAGGAACATCAGAGCCAGCAGACCAATCACAATCCAGAAGAGTTGAGGAGGCTGAGGAAACTGAGGACAAGGAGGAGGCGAAGGCTGACGGATGCAGGCCGCTTCCTTTTGACCTAAAATAAAAAACATGGTAAGGAAATTTCCTGTTTGTACTTTTCTGGTTTATAACACAAATAGAGTTTAGATGTGTTTGACCAATAGCACAAACCCAAACACAAGTTCCCAAATTTCAAATCATCAACAATGAACAGAGAAGTATTTGGAAAGTGAACATCAAAAATACCCTTAAAGCTTTATTTAAAATGTTAAGTCACAAACATATTTCATTCAGTTATTAAAAACAAAAAGGTAATAACTGTCATTTAACTTTGTCTTTCATTTAATCAAGACAGTACCCGTTTATAATATGAAAGTGGATACATGTGTGGTGCATTTGACAATATTTCTTCATTGGCTTGTATTAACATTGGCATTACAAATCGTTCAAAGGGTTGAACGTACCTGGCAGTAGTTTGGTTGGTGTTCCTGTCTCGGTGTGATCTAGATCATCTGTTCTCACTGTGAACCCACACTCGTATTTCTTGGTCATGGCCTCTGGCCCGATGTTGAGCATGATGAAGAGCCATTTATGTGGATTCTCTTCGTGCATGCTAATGTTCTTACAGTATTTCTTCCCCTTCTGGCACAGCAGTCTAGGTTTGTCTGTTCTGAGAGTGGACAAAGATAATCTCAACAGAGTATGCCTCCCACCATAGACCAAGTCTTAGAGATACACTCATCCACTTTCTTGCAAAGAGATGGAGACGCGAAGACTGCGAGCACACCAGGCCAAGAAACAGTCCCGACATAAGAGTGTTGAATGATGTACAGTGGTTTAACACCCTCACAGTTTTATGTATTCATTTGTTTTTTCTTGCACCTGTTTGGTTATTCGGTGGTTTCAAATTTGCCTCATTATGCAGATGAGGTGATGCATTACAATTATGGATAAAGAAAATGATAAATTAATACATACAGTGATATGACGTTGAGTCGAACATCTTCGACTGAGTTGACGTTTGCCGTGTGTTCACAGCTGATGGAGGCTGACCCGTCTGGGTTCACAGTCCGATTCTCAGGCTGAATCACCTCAAAACCTGATGAGTGAAAAGGATTCAGCTGCTCTTTAAAACACATCAAGTCTCAAGTTTGTTCATTTTCAACAAAAAAGAATTGCTTCAGATTTATGCTGAGAAGTGAATGTTTTCAGTCTGTACTTCTGTTTCTTGTAATAGACGGCTTGTACAAACAGCAGCATATGCAAAGCAATGGTCGACATTTCATTGGATCATTAGGTGAATTATTAGGCTATTATTGGTCATATTGTTTTTATTTTAATACAACACATGAGTATAAGAATTAAAGGTAAAACTATGAAAATTGCTAGAGGCAGTATTTGGTGAAATGGAGAGTCCTACCATGGCTTCGGTGGAAGATGCAGCTCAGATAAATTGTGAAGATGATGAAGATGAAGCTGCAAGATGTCATCTCAGTGTTTCTGCTCCTTCTCACACTGCGGTAAAAACTGCAGAGAACCCAACAATCCGTCACAGTACAAAGACACCAGTGTTAACCAGCATCGTTAGCTCTTTATTAAACAGGAAAAAGGAAATGTTGAGGTTGGATGACGAGCTAACCCAAGTCTTTGTTTCTGTGGGGCCGTCATTGCTTTGAAGACACTCAGTAGCACACTCAACTGTTTTGGGTAGTTTCTGTGGTTGGCACTGTTTCCTGCAGGGAGCAATTGTTAGGCAGTGGCCACTAAAAGTCACTGAACAACACAATCTGTCGATCACACCACTTCCTGTACTGCAGGAAATGTTATTTGTTCCATTCAGAGAAAAAAGTTTGAATTTACAAGTTGTTTTATGCAGGCTTTTTTTTTCTGTTGAACAATCTCATCCGCCTGCTCAACTGTTCCCACTCTCCATCACTCTCCATCAGCCCTGCAGTATATAACCGGCCCATCTCCACTCATACCATGCCAGACTGTCAATATTGGTTCATGCCTTGCTTTACAGCAACCTGACCGTGGACCTGCTCCTTAACCCCTGTCTCTACCTGCCAGCCTATGTCTCTTCACTTCTTCAATACATCACTGAACTGTTCCTGTCTGCCTGTTTTTGCTCTGCAAATCAGATACTGAACGTATCAGCAAAGTGTTCACTATATACACTTAAGCAATACAATGTACGCTCGTAGCAGCTAAAGCATGAATCCACTGTTTTATTGTATATCCAATGTGACAGCCTGACAAAGTAGCAGAGGGGGAGGGGCTTGGCAAAAGGTCAATTTAACTGGGTTTCTGGTAGTAAAAGTGCTGAAAAATGGACATTTGAGAAATCCAACAGCAATATCTCTTTCCAGCAACAATGTCCTGGTTGGTAAAGATCAGTGATAGAAGAAGTATCCAGGTCCTGTACTTCAGTAAAAGGTGCAATGTGTAACATCTGGTTAGAATTTTTGTTCAAAAAATAAGCTTAACATTATCAAAAGAATGTGAAGAGGTTACAGTGTTGACAGTATGTCAAAGACTTCTGTATTGTGTTGCAGAGATATAATGAGCATGCTAACTGACTAGCCCCAGCCCGCCCTGCATTGTAATACCAATTGTTCCTCGAGAGGCCATAGTTAGTCACTGTACGTCCAGTCTGCCCTCAGTCCAACACGATAGGACGATAAAGAAGAGCTGCCCTGAGGGCTTGTCAATCACGTTAAAGGTACACGGTCTGTTTACGTTTTGATTTGTTTTTTTATTGGAATAAATCCAAATTTGCAGAAATGAGAAATCGCATTTTCGTTCTCCGTCCTCCCCACCGCCGGGAGACTGAGCCAGAGGAGAGCAGGCAGAGCTCCGTCACAGAGTGACTTTCATTTAGCAGTTACCTCTGATTCAGCCAGTGCAAACCCCAGTGACCAGTCATTTTGAAACTTCATTTATTATGTCAGTAAACATTGTAAACATGAGTTTATGGTCTCAATCTCTAGTTTCAAGTCTTCTTCAGTGCAGCATGATGTTCATTTAGTTAATGATGGTCCATTTAGAGTCAAACAGACCATAAAGCAGTGTATGCTTTAGGGCGGGGCTACACAGTGATTGACAGTTTGCTGCCGTGTGTCACTTCTGGGTGCAAAAACAAGCAGTTAGCTCTGATTCCGCCAGTGCAAACCCCAGTGCTGGGGACACTTTTTGCCTCTGAACTAAGATGGAGTCCAAGTATGTGATTATAGAATAAAATGGAAATACTCAAGTAAAGGACAAGAAACTGCATGAGTACATGTAACTATAGTAGTTATCTCAGACCTCAGAGAGCTCTGAGGATTATCATCAGTAAGTGCGTCTGTCCATTATCTTCATCAGCAGGAAGTGTCTTTGAAAGAAAATGAATCATTTGATTTGATCTGACGTAATACAGTACAGTCCACATCCTGTTTTTCAGAGGTTGTGTTTCTGTGAAATCTGTGTGCGTGCCTGTGTGAGACGAATATAAACCACAGACGCAATCAGAATTAGAAGCCTGAACCGTGTTCTCTGACTGATTGGTCCGTCTTTGGTCTGATCCTTCTTTGAGAGAGAGATACAATTTGGCCTTGTTCTTCTTTTCCTTTTGTTTTAAGCCTCACAGCAAAATTATTTTGATTGTAATCTTGCTTGTTTCCTTAAGACTTTGTATTAGTCAGTATTAGAACGCTTTGGTTCAGACTGACTAGGCAGTCAGGCTATATCTATATCTCAACAACTATTGATTTTCATGTTGTACAGTCGTTCATGGCCTTCAGAGGACGAAGCTTACTGACTTTTTCTCTGTCACCGACATAAGGTCAGACTGTGGTTTTGGGTAAAAGCGCTATTTAGATCATTTATGTTTGCAGCTAATTAGCAAATATTAGCACGTTAACACACTTAACTAAGATGGTGAACATGGTGTTCCTGCTTAACATCAGCATTAGAACATTGTCATTGTCTAATTGTCATGTTAGCATGTGGATTATGGCGCATAATACAAGGTACTGCGGTCTCTACAACCTCACATGACTGTAGACTCTCAAAGTAGTGTCCTGGTGTAGACAGGCAGCAGTAATGGTGAGTCGCAGACAAACAGATTACGCAAAATATGCCACAGAATCCTAAATAAACCGAAATGTGATGATGTCTAATGCAAATCAAATATTTGTATGCTTGAAACAACCTAAGTAAACCAAGGTCATGTTCTTCACTAGTTTTGTTCCTGTACTTCAATAATACATGAGCTTCTGTTTCTATCCTTCATCTATCAGGTGTTCCACAAGGCTCAATCCTGGGAACATTTGTTTTTCATTAAAACGTATTTCTTTTTGGAACTGCAGATATTGGCACTTCTGCGTTGGCTTCATTTCTCAGTACCGGAGGTTGCTGTGTTTTATTTACAGATGGAAAAATCATCAAATTGCAAGCTTTTCAATCAATTACAATCAACAGTACTGTTTAACAGCATATGAATACAAAATGAAATAATACATTCCACAAAACTACAATTTTTAAGCAAAGTACCTTTATTCCAAGGAAATATCCAACATGAATATGTGCTGAACATTGCAATGGCAACAAAATAGACTGACAAAAGGTAACAACAAATTCACATGCAAACTTAGCCGTAATGCATAATCATTCAAAGCATTGCATTCTCAGCTGGAGTGTTAAGCCAAGTTTAACTTCAAGCGTTTCAGTTTTGTAATTCATACACAGTGTTAGCCGTACAAGCTTTCTAGCTGGTTAGAGTGAGAGTTCAGATAACTCAATCAAGCTACAGCGTTTAATGCAATTAGTGTTTACAACAATGTAAACATTATTTCATACTTAATAAGTAAGATAACCACAGACACCAAATATGTAATTTTCTACAGCTGTGGTAAAAAAACCTCAATCAAAACAGAGGTGATATTTAATAAACGGTTACTACTGACCCTGTAATCCTTTAACCCTCCATTCAAAATCAATGGTACTCATGATGAGCCCAACATGATGATTCAGTGGGTGTTTCATGCAAAGTTTTAACATGAAAATGAAGCAGCATCCACCTTGTGAAGCACACCAGGCACCGGTCTGACGACCTCCCTCCTCCCTTGTTCACAATGTAGGGCCTGCAAATGTACAACACACAGATTTTAATGCAGTAAACAATAGGTGATAAGAACCTTTTTTTAGATTTTATACCGGGGAGAGTAACAGCAACGAGGGCAGAGAAGATGACTCAGTTAAATCCAGCTGTGGGAGCTCATGGAAGGATTTAGCCTGCATCATTAAGGCATTACTGTTGTGCCCTATTAAGCCCTGTGTGGTAATCTGATTAAACACCAACTCATTTTGAGATTTGTACCAGTAAAGCACTGCATTAGCTGAAATGACTGTCTATATTAATAGATGCTGAAACAAGACCAGGCCTCAATAAAGCGATTTAAGGCCCTTATTGTGCCAATCATACTCATCTCAAACTAATATTCATTTGAAATTGTAACTTTTAAACATGCTGCATCTGCCAGTGATAACTACTACTAGTACTAAATAAATGTGTAAATAAAAATAATAATGCTCTGACCTGGAAGTAGATGATGATGAGGAGGACAAACACGACAAGTATCACCAGTACAACCACAGGAATACTGACTGGTGCCATCCTCTCATCACCTTCATCATCCTCCCCATCATCACCCTGGTGTGCAATCTGTCTCTGAGCCCCCGGCACAGGACAGTCGGAGCTGCCTGTGGATAAAGGAAACGGATGGAGGGAAAGTGAGACTGAAGGTGAGACAGAAAGATGTGTGAACTGTGTGGGCAGGTCTTGTGTGGGGGTCTCACCTAAGACATGAATGAGCGTGCCGTTGCCAGTGAGCTGCAGGTATGGTGGTGGGTAGAAGACCTCTATCTCACAGCGATACAAATCCGTGTCCGTGGCCTTCAGTCCAGACACCGACACCTCCACGGCGCCCTCCCTCATCCGAGCAGAGCACTGCACCTAAAACACATACAATCTGAATCATAAAATGGTCTTTTTAATTTGAATTTTGACATATTAATATGTTACTTTCAATTAAACCAACAACAAACAGGAGGCTACAAAGTGGTTGTATGGAAATTATTCTAAACAGGGCCAAATTACCAATGGTTCACATGGGGGAAAAGAAAGGTGGTGACACAGGGGTATTTCTTATAATAAAATAAATCCCGTTATCTGTGTTCTTTCTGTGTTAAGACAACCTGTGGAAGCATGAGCACTCACATGCATGCAGTATATTGATTAAAGACGTAACAATCCATTTGCCTAGAATTGGGTTTTTTATGCCCTATCCTGCCTATTAAAGATGACATTTTCTCCTCTTTGTAAAAAATGTAAAAAAAACTGATGAGCGGATTTACTCAGCTCCCTTCTCCTGCTGGACAGTGTGAACTCTGGTGCCACCCTCAGGCCAAATTGTGAATTTGTTAACACAAAATATCTCAGAAGGACATGTTGACACACATTTTGCTGAACACACTCATGCTACCACTTTGTAAAAGCTCTCATAGACAAATTTGACACGTTTCCTTCAACACCACGCTCAAGACCAAACTGACAATGTTATCCCAACTTCTATTAAGGATCTTGAACGAGCAAAACTGTGTATATGTTGCTAATTTCATCCATTACTTTTGTACTGTGATGCATCAGGAACACTGCTGGAGACCTTTTCTTATTTTGAAGAAGCAAACAACTCAGAAGTGCCTCTCTGGATGCCCCTATGGTAGATGACACATGATGAAGTGTCCTCTACAGTGAGAAAATGGAGTGCTGTATAGGCTGCTCTACATGCTAGAAAGATTTCTGCACGCTGCCACAACATGCAGTGGGGTTCCTTTGTATTTTTATTGTGTTGTTTCTTTTCCTGCCCCTCAGAAAACCTGAGTCCACCACTGACTTTTATAAACACAACTTTAATTTGAGTCTAACTCGTTTCGCCTTGTGACCTTTAAGACATTCTTATTCTCCCCTTCTCCATGCACCATGAAGGTGAAGTTGTGGTAGAAATCTTTGCTTGACCTTTATTGTTTTGCCATTTTATCAGTTGATTTAATTTTATTTATTTTATTTTTTTTTAAAGAGTCTTCTTAGAAATCTCTTTCTATTTCATCTGTTGGTTGATTGACCCCTGACCTGAGACGTTTAGGATTATGGTGGGGTCAGTTCATAATACATATCCAATCAAAATGTTGAAGGATGATGGCTCTATTGATTGTAAAAATGATATTGTTTATTAGGGGAGACACCCTATGCAAAAACATTGTTTATCATCTTACATCTTACACCTGTCTTCTTCTCTTTTAGCTTGTTTTATCTTTATAGTCTCTTCGCTCTTTTATAACTCTTTTAATTTTATTTGAACGCCCTTTTGCTGTGTGTTTTTTGCACTTTGTTTTCGATGCTTTTGATGTTTTAAATAAAGAACTTTGAATTGCCTTGTTGCTGTAATGTGTTATATAAGTAGACTTGCCTCGCCTTGCCTCAAGTATTTGGTTTATTCATGACTGACTAAGAGAAAATCTAAGTTAAAGTTCAGGGAATAAACATCATTATGTAGTATATTTATTACCTGTTTAACATCAGGACTGTGTGTCGTTTGATTTAGAATTGATTGACAATGGCCCGGCAAGAAAAGCAACTTTCAGGAGATTGAAATGTTGCAAAAGCCTAATTGACATCAAGTGACATCATCTTCCCAACTGAGCGCCGCCCACATTAAAAATAAAGAAATTCTCTCAAATGAAATATGCAAAACTGCTCTAACTTTGAGAAAAAATTATGTTTTGATGTAGGATGTCTCTTATTAAGAAGCTGGTATAGAAAATGTGTTGATTTTAAAACTTTAGTTAAAGTTGTAATAAGTTAACATCCATCCACCCACAGACTTACATCTCCTTGTTTCTCCACACCTGGCTCTCTCTGCCCTGTGAAGTTGAGGAAGGACGAGCAGAATTCCTGGGTGCCGTAGAGGCCTTTCAGCAGAGTCACACGGAGCTCCTTGGGGTCAGGGTAAGGGTAAGGCCGGGTTTGGTCAGAGGGGGGTTGGGTCTGGTGGTAGGAGGGTCGGGGTTGGACGAAGCAATGGACCTGTGCCATACCATTGGTGCTCACCACTCTATAGGGCTGGATTATCTTCACGGCTGGCAGAGAAAAAGGGAAGGTTGTGTCCACAGAGAGTTGTGACCTCATGATTATGTACTGAATCCAAACAGCAAAGGAGGACAGCGCCTCTGCAGATTTAACGTATTACATCTGTCTGCAAAGGAACAAACTACTAACTTTAAAAGTTTAAAGGCAGAGGTGGACGGTGGAAAATGGTCATTGGCTGCTAATTTCTTTTTACCAAAAAAATAATACATTTTATTACATTTCATTAATCAGCTCTGCCATGAGGTGACGTACAAAATCCTAAAAACTCTCCACACCCACACGTCACTTCCTGTGTTTAACACATGGAGCCATTAAAAGACGAAACTCTGTGTTTAGACAGCACACAGCAGCTCTGCAGGAGTTCTAGTCATAACAGTGAAGCTGCAGGGTTCACACACGCTCTAAAAGAAACCAGGTGATCCCCTAATGTAGGCCATACAGAACAATATTACATCATTCATTTTCTATCAAAATACCACCCGAAACACTACTAAACAGTTTAACATAGTGTATTTATTTCTAACATTTGCTTATTAAATACTAAATTACAGCAGGTGGCTCCTATCAACACATCTCAATGTATTTTACACCTAAAATCAGAGACATAAAGGACAGAAGTGTCTTCTTACAACTGGTCTGCTCAACCAGAGCACAAGTATTCAGCTCAGGTTGTGGCTGAGGTCAGTTCATCTTGAACTGACTGTTTGGTTGAGGATTACAAATGGAGTCCCCATAGAGGTCAGGGTTTCTAGTTGCCAGAGCTAGCAGAGGTCATGCTAAATGTTTCTCAAACATGCATCTGTTGTCACGTGACAGCAAAAAATGTTATCGATCCATGGACCGAACACTACTATCGTCACATCCTTAAAAGTGTGTTTATACTCACCACTCCACGCAGGCCGGCAGAGGCTGAGGACTGTCAACACAATCCCTGCCGTCACACAGTGAGTCAGGAACATCCTACAGTATCTCACGCTGTTACACAGAAAGAGACAGACACTAAAAAATCACTGAAAGCTAGTGAGCACACATACCCTCACACGGAACAAATTTTATTTGAATACAGCAAAAAACGGTGAAACTTGCCTTTATAGTTTTGCACCTTCTCTCAGTTGTCATGGAAACTGTGAGCCAGCACAGGAAATGATGATGGTGTTTTGCCGGTAAAGGGAGACGGCAGGTTTAGTGATTGTGCTAAACAGCCTAATTTTCTCAAAAAAAATGAGAGAAGCAGCAAAAAATGCTTTGAACACTAACAATGTGTTATTGTCAGCATACAGTCTTTTTTCAATTACCTCCCAGTAGAGAAAACATGCAGTGTCCTTTAGGGTGTCCTTCTAGTGGAGAAAACATGAAGTCCCCTCTAGAGTGCCCTCCCAGAGGAAAAAACGTGATGAAGGGCCCTCCATGGTGCCCTTTCAGTGGAGAAAATGTAATGCAGTGCCTTCTAAACATGATGCCATATAGGCTGCCCTATGGGTGAGAATACTTTTTCAGTCAGCCACTGGATTCAATAATGTTCCTAAAACAGGTTGATATGCAGCTGAAACAAAACAAAACTCTTCAACCTCTTTGCAGATAACTCTAGTGGAAAGTTTTGCAGGATTGATATTTAGTTTAAATTCTAATGAATTGTGTTTAGAGTGCTATATCAAAGTCTGGAAAATGTCTACGATAGGTTTTTATTCAAAGTGGTTTTGACTTTCATCAGTTAGGTTCCTGCATTCTGTTCACACATTTAAAAATAATTCCGTCATTTTTAAATGATCTCTTTATTACACCTTTCATTTGTAGAAAATAAAGGGATAGATATTTAATTTCAGACAAAAAATTGCTCTTCTTGGGGATGTAAAGGAATCGGGAATCTTTCCCGCTGGAGATATTTGGCTTTGAGTTGAAATATTTTCAATTCAGATGTGTGTCTTTCAGTTCCCATATTGTAAAAAGTGAGACTTCTATGTCTTTTTGATTATTACGCAGGTCTATACGCTGTATAAAGACTGTGAGTTTCAAAACACTCGATCCATGGAGAAATGAACGCAGCCAGTCCACGAACCAAAGGGTGATGTCACGACAACTACGTCCATTTGAAGAGAAGCTGAAGAGAAGCTGAAGAGAAGCTGAAGAGCAACCGAAGTGCAACCGAAGAGCAGCCGAAGAGCAGCCGAAGAGCAGCCGAAGAGTAGCCGAAGAGCAACCGAAGAGCAGCTGAAGAGAAGCTGAAGAGAAGTTGAAGAGCAACCGAAGAGCAGCCGAAGAGTAGCCGAAGAGCAACTGAAGAGCAGCTGAAGAGCAGCTGAAGAGCAGCTGAAGAGAAGCTGAAGTGCAACCGAAGAGTAGCTGAAGAGCAGCCGAAGAGTAGCCGAAGACCAACTGAAGAGCAGCTGAAGAGCAGCTGAAGAGCAGCCGAAGAGTAGCCGAAGACCAACTGAAGAGCAGCTGAAGAGAAGCTGAAGAGCAGCTGAAGAGAAGCTGAAGAGCAACCGAAGAGCAGCCGAAGAGCAGCCGAAGAACAGCCGAAGAGCAGCCGAAGAGCAGCATTCGTCACGTTTACAATGGAAAAGAAGACTCAGTTAAATGAAGAGGACATGCCATAATGTCCCTGAAACTACTGGAAACAGACTGCTTAGTCTTTTTTTGCAAAACAAAATGTCTATTCACATCAGCCCCTTCATTTACAGAATGTGGATTTTGTCAATAAAGACATTTACACAAGAAAACTTCAATTCTTTGTCATTTATTGAACATAAAACCTTTAACAAAATAATTCATAATTGGTGTTGAAATGGAGTGTGTGTGATGCAATCAAATGTTTGAATCTGATCATATGCGACAGTTTCTGTTGTTTCGTCATGGTTTACTCTTCTTTGGAATATTAGAATCATTTTTGTTCTTGCGTTTGCATTTCTTTCGTGCAAATGCACTAGATATGCAAAGATAAGGTGAAAACAGTGGAACATAGCTCGTTCTCGTCACTGTGTCATGACAGAGTGAAAGTGCTGATGCTGTGACATTCTGTGTCATCCTGACATCACATCTGTGCGTTGTCTGGAAACACTCTGTGGGGTTAAACCCCATTCTCACTGAAGTTACAGTCAGCACAGAGTTCTTCAGTCGCCCGGAAAACAGCGGTTTATTTCTGCTGCTGTCGCTGTTTCAGAACTTTAGCATGAAGTGCAAAAATGTAATATCAGAAGCTGTCAGTCGGGCTCTTTGCAGTTGTGCAGAAAATACATCACGTGAAGCTGATTGAGTTTAAACAGACATGTTCTCGTCTGATGTTCCACTGAGTTAACGTGGAGGAAAATACATTACACCAAAGTCAAATAAAATCATACTATTAGTGCCCTATGGTGCTGTTACTTTACATGTTTGAAGTGTCGTCAGCTGCTCATTTTCCTACCAAATAAATAATCATTTAATCATTTAAAAAGGTACCAAAATCACATAAGAGATGAAGAATGGTACAGGAGAGGTCAACATTCACTGTGCTATTATTCTCTTTGCTGAGCATCAAACGTGTTCACTTCCTGCAGAGGCAGGAGAGCGGTTGTTCTGAAAATGCATGTTATCACACACAATCTCCATTTTCATGTAAATCACCTGATGCATGAACATGCTGTAACATGTACAATGTACAAGTTCTATGTGTATGCCATTTAATGTAGCAGTAGCTCTACATAATGCTGAATTGCATCTTCAGTTCAATATCCTGATGATTAGAATACCAAAATAAGACAGCAAATAATATAATAAACATTTTAGCTTTAGATACAAAACTGGTCCACATCACAAAACATCTGATTTCAAAGCTGTCTCAGCTTTTTCAGTTTGCAACCTTAAGATATGAGGAGAGGTCTATTTCAGTTACCCAAGTGATTTTAACACCAGATACTGATGATTGATGGACTGGAGAAGTGAGATTGTCTCCAGCTGACGGAGCCCCTGAACAGGAGAAAGCAGATGTAGAGAACAGACGGATGGACGCTGACGTTCAATTTCTATTTCCAGACCAAAGTAACTGAAAACCTCAAAATACAAATCAATAATCAAACGTCACAGCGTTTGTTGTCGTATGCAGAGTAAAAAAAGACTCTGAATGTGGTTTACAAGAACACACCAGGTATAAATAAAACATATTCATCCCAAACATTTTGATCATTTCTATGGTCAGTGATTGATAGTGGTGGAAAAACATTTATGATTTATTCTCAAAACATATGTATATGACATATTTAGTTTCTATTTAGTTTGTAACAAGCAGACAAGATGTGCCGTCCGTTACTGCAGCTCTGTTCTTCTTTCTGTGTTTTTAGTGATTTTTGTGCCTCTTTTTTAACTTATCTCCTTCGTACGCGAGCAGCATGTTTTTTTATGTATTGTTTTTTTTATCCAGTTTAATTTTCATTCAAATCATCACTTCATTCCTTTCCTTTTAAATTTCCCTGTTGTGGGATAGATAGATATATAGATAGATATATACATTATTCATAACACTAAAATAAAAATATTAAGTATGGAAAATGCGTTTGCTCGCAAAGACAATGAATGATTTGTGATTTGACCACAACAGAGCTCATTGTCTCATAATACGCCCATGAGAACAGGCCACACCAAGAAGTAGTGTTCATTCAGAGGATCAACGACTGTATACCGTTCAACGAATAAAGTGCAGTGCAGCCATATTTTAGTCCTTTAATTTAGAGCCTAAAATCCAGTTTGTGCTGCCATCTAGTGGTCAGTCACTGCAGGTGTTGTCCATAGCTTGTCAAGTGACGTTTGAAGTTTCTCTGCAAAAAAACAACCACTTGGATGACTTTATTTAGTGCAGTGGTAGGGATCCACTCTTCTCCTTGGGTAAATGAAATGAATAAGACAAGCCTTGGAAGAAGATAATATATATATATTGCAGTTAAATGATACAAAGAGACCCGAGGACAGAGTGTTGGGCCAGAGGAGGTGGACTCTGTGTTTACATCAGTGATGATTGGTGCTCGAAGACACTCAACGTTTCCCTGAAGTCTGATTGTTAATGTTAAGATGTCGGCCATATTATCTGCTCATAAAATTCATCAGTGTTTTAGATTCTGCAGTTTACATTCCTCCTCTTGCAAATTCAGAAACTGCACGACAGGAAATGCTCTAGAGTTTTTGTTGTGTCATGTGTTTCTTGATCTGCGCTACAAGTGTGTTCTGTTGTGCAACCCTGTGCTGCAGGATGAGAATAAATGATTGTTGAACCTTGGAATGAAATCTAAAATGTGTTTGATTTGACATCATTTCTTCCTTGGAATAAAACAAAATCTGGTTACCAAAAAAGAGGCTTTTCAAACACTGCTGGAGGGTTTCTGGGGTTCAGAGGGTTAAAATAAATATCTGTCTGTGCAGTTTCAGCCGTTATTTTCACTGAGCCCGGCTCTCAAGTTTAATTCTGCAGCCCCACCGCTCTCATCTTGTCCTCCTGATTGGCTGCTATGGATTACAGGTGTTTGTATGTAGTCAATACCAAAGAAAGTTTTCTTCTCCTTCAAGGTTCAATGGGATTGTCGCTACGCTCTCTGCACAAAGGTAGACGTACAAATGTTTTCACTGTACAGCATTACAGTCAGGTTCAACACCTGATGACGACATGTGTGACTCAGTGTGTGAGTGTGAATCAGATGGGTACACTACCTGTGTGAGGCTGTGAAACCACACACACACACACACACACACAATCACACAGCTCTGTATGGCCTAAATATAACATGACATTAAAGTAACGACTGTAAAAGGGGTGATCACCTTACTGGCTCTTTGTCATGTAAGGAAACAGCCTTGTCCCATATTTCAGTTTTATTCTTTAAAGCCGTTTAAATAGTGTGAAACTGTTGGATAAAAGTTTATTCTGTCTGCAACATGATTCTTCTGTTTCTGACACAGAAATTATAACTGAATGCAGCAGTTTACTGTCATGATGAACTTCAGAATGTCTTTGGTGTGATATGTTCCTCTTCATATTCTTTCCCCTGAATGTTGAATATATTGTGTTTTAATCCCCCTCACGGACATGCTTTGCATTTATATTCTGAAATAGCAATCCTGGTGGACTGGAAAAGGTTGTCAAGGTACTGAGATGATTTTGTTTTTATATTTTTAAGGTTTTTACGTTCCACAAATGAGTGGAGCGGAAATTCTTTAATTCCTATCCTATCTGTCTGCTTGTCTCTCTCTTTAAATAATCTGTGGTTGACTCATATGATCCGAGATAATGGAAAAATAATTTTTGTCTGACGTGGAGTCTCTTTCTACTGAAACCTCAAGGTGGGAAGCTATGGTTGAGGTTTTGATTTGAGTTGTTATCATATAAAGTTACAATGAAAAGGTCAACATCCATGAGGTTTTGGCGGAAATGACTATTTTCTTCACCCACTCTGCGCAGCACACACACACACACACACACACACACACACGAGTGAGGTGTTACTATGGTTTGCAGCTGCAGCATCTGACTTCCATATAAAAGGATCAAGGTTTCACTGATGTCATTATACAACACAGGCTTCTACAACAAAATGCACTTTATAGTCCCATTTTTCTACATAAGACAATCACAAATAAAAAGCTAAACTATATTATGTCTGTTGGGTGGGGGTGAGTTGAGGAGTCTCAGCCTGAGGAAAGAAGCTGCTCTGAAGTCTGGTGGTACGGCTGCTGATGCTTCTGTTTCTCTTGTCAGACGGCAGCAGGGTGACCAGGTTGTGACTGCGGTGAATAATGTCTTTTAATAACCTTTGGTCTCTGCGCAGGCACCTCACCTCACCAATACCACCCGCTGTAGAGCCCTCTTGTCCTGGGTCGTGCACATCACATGCCAGTTTGTAATGTTTCCAGTCAGGATGCTCCTCCGTAAAAGTTACAGGTGTAATATGCAGTCACATTGTCGGTTAATGTTTGTCAACAAAGGATTAAAAGTTTGCGCCTCCTCTCTAGCTCAATGAGCGAATGGGAAAGAGAGAGAGAGAGAGAGAGAGCACAGCGGTGGTCGAGTGAGCTAGAGAGTGAATGAAGAGAGGGGCCGGCAGCTTTACTTGTATATAACTGTACCGATAATCCATTAAAATACCTTATTATATGTCAATCCATATTCATTTATCCATTACTTTTAGGGATAAAAACAAAATGATTCTGTTTCATAACTGTGCCACAGTTATGAAACAGTTGTGTTTGTTCAAAATTCTATTAGAACGTATTTTAATAAAATGACAAATGAGTATGTTACAATTTAACACCTTGTTCCTGCTCTGGGCTGTTTCTGTGTGATTAGAGGCCCCTTCCTCTTAAACGAAATAGTTTTGACCATTGTTACTTCACCTCGATGCTTGAGAGCTCGAGAGCCACTCTGCAGGAGACAATCTTCTTACATATCTACATTTAACAACCTCACAATTCAGTTTCTCTCTGTCCCTTTATTTTATACTTTTAATGCTTATATTTGAAAATGAATCCATGCTTAGATAGCAATTTTGTATTTGCTGTGGGGCCCTTTGTTTGCAGCTGCTTCACTGCTGTCTACACAGGCGGTGTGAGGCCACTAGAGGTCACACTTTGGTTAAAAAACGCAGTTTAAAACTGAGCAATGTGCTGATTTAAGTGTGTGTGTGTGTGTGTGTGTGTGTGTGTGTGTGTGTGTGTGTGTGTGCGCGTGTGTGTGGGTGGGCAGAGAGAGAGAGATCACAACAAAACAATATTAATATTAATGATATAATATACATATATATCCACACATAAATGGATATATGTATATATATCCATTTATGTATTAATATAAAAAGTTGTTATATTTATATATATATATATACACATTTATATATACACACATTCATATATAAATATATAATAATACTAATAATAATAATATAAATGCATGTATTAATATGACATGTGAAGATATATGTATGTTCTCATATATCCCTGTTGTATTTATACATAATAAAGAATATATGAATAGAACAGAGTAGAACGGAATAGAATGACCTCATCAGGACCGATTGGTTGAGGCTGATTTCTGGGTTGGGCAGGACAGGAAGCAAGGCACCGGGAGCGCGCAGGGCATGATGGATACGCGCTCCCGCTGAGTTTTTTGGGATCCGGTGTACGGCTGAGCATGCATCAAGTCAGACTGTAGAACACCGGAATAGAGATGATTTCAGCTTCACAATAAAATACCGACGAATTTGAAACCGACATTTCCGGTTGGCTGGGCCTACTTGCTGTACTTATAGTTAGTACATTTAAGCTATGCTCATCAAAGGACAATACAGGAATCAGTTTAGGATATTAATGACGATTTGGGTATAATAATGTATTAGAATTTAATATTAATATTTTATTTTGTACAATAATTTAATATTGTATTTTGTACACTTTGAATAATGAATAATGAAAACAAAAGTTTTTTTTTTCATCCTTTCTTGTCTTTTATAATTAATGTAAAAACATTTTGTTACTTTGTGGTTTTAATGCAACAGCGTTGCAAGTTTATTGTGAAAGTCCCTCCCGGAAGTAGTCCGTTTTGCTTTCCTCTAACTTAACGCTTGTGTTAGCGCTGTTGGGATTCAGTGAGGCAGCAGGGGGAAATCTGGGATATCTGGGGAAAGGGGAGTCGGTGAAAAAACCGGGACTAAACCGGCAGAAATCCCCGACGAAGGCTTGACCGTCACACCGCGGGGTTTCCTACCGGACACTAGTCGTCTCTCTCCCCGCTGGTGGCTGCGGGTTTTCTCCCAGAAACCTGCCCTGGATCCGCACAGTAAGTAGCCCAATTCAACCTCAACGCATCTCTATCCCAACACATTCACCCTGCTTTCTCTTCTACCTCGCGGTTATATATTTATTTATATATTTATATATATATATATATATATATATATAT